TTTTTAGTCTTTATTTTACAGTTAAAATATATGTTTATTAAATAAAGTCTAATGTTACAACTAATCGGAGATCCCTTTAATGGAATGAAGAGTGGGACAAAGTTCCTCCACAACCAAGTGAGAGACCAATAAAGTCCTACAAAACACCTGGAAGTTATTACTGCTAATGGAGACTCTTCGAGCTGCTGGATCAAGGCCTGGACTTATTTTCCCACAAACATCGTCACTGTTTGGGTTTTATTTTTGTTTAATAAATAATGACATAATGGAATCGGTTGCGTGTTTTTGTACTTTTGAGGTTAGATTTGAACCATTGTAAGTGGACTTTATTTTTCTCCTGACTGTATTTAAGCCTTTCGGTTATCAGACACACACACCTCACTCAAAGAGAACACACATGAAGGAGCTCCAGTGATGTCAGAGAGCCCATATGTTTGGAGTTTATAACATATATCCACATGTGCAGTTTGGGAGGTGAGCCATAGACTGCGATCCAGAGGAAGCTGTAACGCTGCTTTGTCTGAGGTGAAAACAACAACTAACTGGAAGCAGCTCTTCTGCGGTGAAGCAGGAAGTGGGGACCAGATTCTATGGATTGGATTTTAATTTGGAGTTTATCTAATCAGGCCTCTGATGGATCCAATCAGAGCTCTGCAGAATGGTTCCGTTACAGAGGAAAGGAAACAACACAATCTGGAGATGATACAGGGGAAAGAGGGCCGATTACACAGTAAAGTGTTGACAGCACAGAGGCACACAACAGGCTCAGTTTGAGGGAACACGTTCAACGAAAACACAGAAAGAGATTTGATTTATGGTACCTGTGCAGTTTCTGCCATCTTCTGTTCAAACTCAGACTTGGCCGTGGCGTATTTCTCCACGTATGATTTGTAGGTCTCTGTGGCTTTTTTGGCTTTTACTCCGGCCTGTAAAGTGTAAACAAACAACTAAATGACTAACCTGGGTTTTTAAAAGCAAACAATGACTTTCTATAATCCTGGAACCAGAGCTCCACTCATCCAGGGTTAAAGTTTCTGTGGACTGGAACACTGCAACACTTAATCGTACCTTATTACCATAATAAGTGTGTGAGAACGTGACCTCCCACCTTGTCGACGTCTCTCTGGGTGGCCCCCTCTTTGCGGAGACGCTCCTGCTCTACAGTTTTGGCATTGTAGATCTCCTTGGACTTCTGAAGAGCCTGAGAGATACTCTGAATGTTCTGCACAGCTTCCAGAGTTGGTGCCACTTCTTCTTTTGTCTGAAAGTATACGTCAGGTTCACCTACTCATTTACACGGGTGGTTTAATAAGTCAGTCAGTGTTATAATCACCCCCTCAACACTTGTCCTGGAACACCTCCATTTATTGTAGGAGTTTTTAAAAATAGCAGATTTAATTCAATGCAGACTCAGGCCTTTTATGGCTGTGCTGAAGTACTGATTTAGCTCTTTTGTTTAATTTTCACACACCAGACACAGACATTTGACACTGCACAGAAGGAAGTAATTAAAGCTACAGAACAGCTAAAGAAAAATGCAAACAATCTGCTTCTTTTTTTTTTTTTTTTGAGGGGGGAGGAGGGTAGTTACACTTTAAGCAGATCCAACACTTACCGGTAATTTCTTAAGACTACTTTTATGATTACTGTGAGCATTTTTATGACTTTTACTTAACCCTCCTATTATG